CTACAATGGGGAAAATACATGTTTGAACCATCTTTGGTTGGCAAAGTAGGAAGGGACGATTGGCCATCGAGTGATGGGTCCTGTGGGAACGATGCTCCGTCCTCTCGAGGACGCATAGGTCTATGCATTTAACCACTAAGGCATACAAAAACATGAGTATCCCCCCACCCACCTACCCCACCCCTGTTGGTTGGTTGTCCCGGCCAGGGACCCCCCCCCCCCCACACACACACACACAAAAAGGCGAGTGGATGACACCCGCACCAGTGGCGAGCACCTCCGAGCCTTCCACGGTGGTGCCGCTGACGATCACGAGGACCGACCTTTTGTTCGAGGACAAGCCGCTAAATCTCGGTGGCGGCAGCTTGGATGCTGGCGTGGTGGCGCTCGGGCTGCTAGCGCTACTCACTTTTTTCCCGGTGTGCGTCAAGTGAGAGAGAGAGAGAGAAAAAAAAGGAGAGAACAAGCAGAAGAAGGGGACGAAAGAAAAGCAAAAAAACTTGTACATCATTTTGCGGGCCGTTTTTGTTCATGTGCCTTTTATGTGCCTGCATGCCTGCCCACAGCAGCAGCAGCAGCAGCAGCAGGAGTGGCCATCTTTTCCCGCTGGAGCAATATTGTGTTGTGGGGGAAGAAGAACGATAGAACACCCTCGCAGCACGCGTTGGGCGGGGTGGGGTCGGGGTCTTGATATAGGTGTCGTCGCAGTGGTAGAATCGGGCGCTTGGTTGGTGGTGTTCGCCGGGCTGCTGATGGTGTGCCCCCGCGCACCCCCCGTTGGTGTGTGTGTGTGTGTGCCGCACCAAGCACTGGAGAATATTCGGAGAATATTCGGAGAATATTCGGCGGGCCGGCGCAGCGATCTATGGGGAGATGTATGCTGTCGTATCTAGGGGAAGGACTGAATAGGCTATCACGCGGGACACGGCAGTGGCTGCCGCCGCCGCCGTCGGCGCCGTGTCTCTTGTGCTTGTTTTGTAGGTCTACCCTACACCATGGGGTTGCTGCTGCTGACGCTGCTGCTGTCGAGCCTCGCGTTCTTCGGACAACCTGCCTGGTGGTGGTTTTGAGTTTTTTTTTGTGTCTTTTCTTCTCTTTCTTTTCTTTTCTTTTTTTTGGTTTTCGTTTTCTCCACCCAGTTTGAATTGTTATTGGTGGTGCATTTACTGATTGTTGGCCGGCGTATTCGCTGATTGGTTGTCGGGCGCACGGGTTTTCCACCAACTTTACTCTGCGTTTGTTCATTTTTGCTGTTGTTGTCGGCGATGCCGTGGACATCGTTCCTCCCCCCCCCCCCCTGGGCCCCCTCCTTCCGTAGCCCGTAGCAACCGGTCGATTTAGGGTAATCGAGTGTCTAGTCCAACACGTACAGCATACCATAAAATTTTGACGTTGTGTGCTCTCTATTGCATAGCGCGGTGTGTGGAGGTATACTCCGGAGCAACGACGTTTTTTTTCTTTTTTTTTTACTCTTGCACGGTTTGTTCTGTTCTGTTCGTTTCTTTTGGGGCTTGATCGTCGCGCGCTCGCTCTGACGGTATGATGACACCTGTTTCTTTTTCTCTTTGCGGCAACACGCGTTGGCCAAGCACCGCGCCCTTGGGATACCGTCCCCCCGCCCACACACACCTATACATACACATAGTTATCGATGATGAGTACACATAGTTATCGATTATGAGAGAAGAATCGAGGGAAGCCGTTGTAACGGATCTGTTATTTGTTGCCGTTTGTTGGAAAATATTTGGGCTACCCTTTTTTTTATTTCGTGGAGTGTGTATGACGCATTTGCGCTTTATGGACAGGCCGATGTGTGTGTGTGTGTGTGTGCGTGCGCTGCTATGCTATGCTATGATATATATTGTGTTACTTAGTTAAAGTTAAGAAAGGAAGCCTACCCCGCCAAACGGCTGACCAACCAATAGACGTCCGTCCGCGGGTTTGATCGGGTGAACAGGTAGTAAGTAGTGAATGCATTGTATGTGTTTTTTTTTTTATTAGCATCGACCGCGCTAACCGGCTGACCAATGAAAAGACGTCGTCAGTCTCAGTGCGGTTGAAAACACAAAATGCTTCTAAAAAGTGCGTGTGTGTCGCGCGACAATGTTATTGTCGATTTTTTGTGCCTTTTCGCTGCCTCCGGGGGCTTGTCGATTCCGCCGCCCGGTTTGGGTATATATCGTTTGTCTCTTCGTCGTGGTCGAAGTCGTTGGCGGGGGGTAGGCGGTTGGTTGCGTGTGTTGACGGTGGGGATCGAGTCGTTCCTCCACAACGAATGAACACCCCCCCCCCCCCTGTGTGCGTGTGGTGTTGTGTATTTTCTTTGGTTAACATCGAGACCGCGCAACTATTAATAACAGAAGATAGAGACGTCGCCAATTGTGTTGTTGCTGTGGGGGGGTGTTGGCATCATCTCTCTTGATTGAAACGTTTTTTCGCCATAAGAAACACGTGCACTGACTGGCTGCTGCTGGGGTGGTGGTGTTCTGGTTGATTGGTGGTGCGTGCTTGCGTGCGTGCGGGTCTTCAAGCTAGCATCGCATGTAGTGCTCGTCCATCCGCTGAGGAATGAAAAAGACAACAGAATTCTTGACGACGCCGGCAGGTGTGGTTGGCAACAGAACGCCGAGACTCTTTCTAGGCCGCGCTCCCTCCCCCGGACAGAGGGTGTTTATGTGTGTTTGTCTGCGATCGGGCGATAAAAATATTTCGCGTCTTCTTGGATTGGTTGTTTTCTCGTTCGTCCTGTTGCGGGCTTCGCGCCAGGGCCTTGGGGTTCCATTTGTTGTGGGCTTGCTTGTGAATGGCATGCATGGCTTGGACGAGTCTATAGATAATAGATGCAGGGATGCACACACGTGCACGATGTGGGCGGTACTTGTTTCTGAAGGGCGGCACCGCTTCTACTTTTTGCCGACTGTCTCTCCCCCCCCCCCCGGTCTTGGTTTCCCACCATGGGGAGGCGTGCATGCGCCCGCGCGCGTGTCCGGCTGTCTGTGCCGTTGGAACGCGTGTGGATGGCGTGGGGAGCGGAGAGCCGCAGTCGCAGCGACGATGGATGGATCGAGAACCATGTTCCATTGGCCGGCGTGCCGTGTTGTTGTCTTCGAATGAATGGTGGTGCCGGTGCTGGAGGGGACAGGGGGATGGCTGCGTCGGGTGTCGGTTGGCAGGCAGGCACTCCCGCTTTTCTCGAAACACGGCAGTTAACAACGACCAACCAAGGTCTTGTGTGTGTGTGTAGTCCAATCTGTCGGAGGACGAGACAAATGCACCACAGACCGACCGACGTCCGTGCTGATGAATGTCCAGCATGCCACCCACCCACCGCCGCCATGGATTGTGATTGCATGTTGACGTCGCTTGTTTTTTGCTTGAAATTGTAGCCTATTTAGCGTACGACGGCGGGGCCGCCCGTGATTGTGGCGTATCGGTTTTGCTCTCCGTTTTTATTTTTAGTGTACGGATGTTTCTCGTGCTTTTGTTCTTTCCCCGTCGTCTGTCTTGTCTCTTGATTTATTTGTTTTTGGTCGCGCCGGGGTACGCTCTTGGCCGGTGCAGGCAAAAGCTCTCGAAAGCCAAGACGGGAAAAAAAAAAATGGTGTACTATTAGCATGTACGGCAGCAGACGAAACTGGTGCTACGTAGAATAGACCCTCCCCCCCCCCCCCCCCCCCGCGACCCGTGGTTTCGTATTTTTTGGTGACTTATATAATATGGGAAATAAGACGACGAGTGAGGGTTTGATGCGTGGAACAACTACACAATACCGTTGTTGTTATTGTTGTTTGGCGATTTGAAATGCCGATTATTGCTGCAGCAGGCATCATTGCAGTTGCAGGCAACGGTTGGTTCCTCCTTCGTTCGTTGTTGTCGCCCTTTCAGCGTGGATAGATAGGCGGTATGATGTTTGGTAGGCAGACGACATGGTTGTTGCGCCGGAGGGGGCGAGCGCAACTTGCCCGACCGCTTGTATTGTGGTGAGGCTTAATATATTAAGGTCAGCACTCGCACGAGTGCTGCTGCTGCTGCTGCTTCGTTAGCGTTTCCAAGCCGCTCATCGCGCTTGCTTGTTCTACCCACGGACGGGTTGTTCGCCATGAGAAGGGCGAATGGTTGCATTGTAGCCTCAGCACGGTTGGTTGATTTCATCCCGACTGTCCCTCTCTCTGCTAATATATCAAGAGCAATACAAAGTACTTTGAAGGATAGGTATACACGACACAAACGAATCATTTACATATTTGTAGATGGACTGCTGTAGTTTGTATCAGTCAGACCATGTCTAATACCCAGTGACTACGATGTCTTCCCCCAATTACTTGCAAACGGGTCTCACAGCAGTCATCGCCACTCACGGTGTGCTTAGAATAAAGCAGTACAATATCCGTTTTTTTTTTTTTATATAAGGTGATGTTGGTGCCTTGCTCTCCTTGGTAGAGACTGAACCCAGAGGAATGCGCGGGGTGTTCCGCCCGCAAGGATGTGGATGGGTGGGCCATTCACAGAGATTTACTCAATCAACCCTGAATTCTGCCCCCCCCCTGGAGTTTTGTTAGTCGCAGTCAGTCCCCGCCATGATCGATCCTGTTTACAGTCTTTCCCTCAGAAGTACCTCCCAGATCCTATACTCAGATAAATCCCATTCTCCCTCATAAACCTGCACAGCTAAACACTGCAATTATTTCTTCTTCTGGATGGATATGATGCGATAGGAGTACTACTGTATATTCTTGTAGTCTATCCTGGTTACGAAACGGGCTGACTGGTTGCCTTTCAGATTTTCTCGTTTCCTACACACTCTCACCCTGGCCGCGCTCAGCATCATTTTGGGTCAGGTTTTCTTGTTTCCTACACACCCTCACCCTAGCCGCCGCTCTAGCATAATTTTGGGCGAGACTGCTGTGGGCTACAAAATGGCCGGTGGTTCGAATGCACCGTTGTTACCCGGGCTACTAACTGCGCTCATGAGACCTTTGTTTGACGTACGTAATGTTGAGCAAGGTAGGTACATACATGTACAAGGGAGACTGCTGTGGGCTACAAAATGGCCGGTGGTTCGAATGCACCGTTACCCGGGCTACTAACTGCGCTCATGAGATCTTTGTTTGACGTACGTAATGTTGAGCAAGGTAGGTATTACAGTATGTGCAGCATGTAGGTGGTAGGTTGATGCGACCTGTCTGTAGGGTAAAACGGCTGGGGGGGGGTAACACCTCCCATCCGCATAATAACCGCGCGGCGTCAATAGTCATCTGTAGCAAACCTGTGTTTGTTGCTGTCGAAGTCTGCATCGCATCGTCACATGGAAACGTACATGGACTGCTGTACCTCTGGTGTCGAGCGCGCACAAACCTTCATTCTATCTTTCCTTTCCTTCTGTGTCTCTTGCAGGTACCCCCGCTCCCCGTTGATTCTGTAGGTAGGCGTTTGCGCCCGGCGCACACGGCACATTATTATTAATAGATCATCATTAGATAGACACGTTGACCCACTGGCGACAGGTGATTGGTACTGTTGTCAAGTGCTCACAGCCCACATCCCTGAGCTGGAATCCTAGGCGTTTTGGTCCTGGCGACATCTGAGGTGCACTTCATCGATCCCTCTTTGAACCTCTCCTCCGTGAGGTTGGCAGCAAGACTGCCGGAGAGGCGTTCGGCGGCGAAGGAGAGAGAGAGGGTTCTGTTTTTCCTGCTGCTGCTGCTGCGAGGTACAACAGGTACTGTTCTCAGGCGGGCCACTCCTCCTCTCATCCCCACAGTCTTGTTCTTCTTTTGGTCCCTCCACCCCCAGGCACGTCGAGGCCACCCTCGGCGTTTTGCGTTCTCTCTGTTGGAAGTGCAGACGGGTTAGGTGCATGCCGCGGTCTCATGAGAGATGAGACGCAGCTGGGCCAGCGTTTGATATGTGCATACATACGTATCTGCGCTCTTCTTGTTGCTGTGGACAGCCCCCGGAAATGATTTATTTGGCCGTTTGAGACATAATGGACACCAGCAGTGCAAGCTTTGTATTGTCTACTACTGCTGTAAGGAGCTTCTGGTTCTTGCGCGATCCCCGTGTATGCGTTCGGATTCGCAGTGAGGCTCTCGCTGCTGCTGCTGCTGCTGCTGCTGCTGCTGCTGCTGCAGACCAGAAGTTGTTCCGTGTCTCGCCCGCCGTCTGCACCGCTGCACCGCCCAAGTAGGGTCTGCGAAGCACTATTGTATCTGCTGTGTGCTTTAAGGAATAATAAAAACACACACAGAAAGACTACCCATTCGAGATATACCCACAGCAGTCGAACGGGATGTGGTGGAGTCTTTTCAGTGAGTGGAGGGAAACCGGCTGGGTACTGGACTTATTTCGAGTCTTTTTAAGTCTATACACTGATGATTTATACCAGTGATGCCAGCTGGTGCTAAGTACAAAAACATCTGTATAGGTAACTTACATTTTACAATACATCCCCTGTAGTTCTCTACTGGGTCAACGGCAAAATATCGGGGAGAAACCCTCCGTTGTGCCGTGTATTGCAAAACTGACTCTTGGAATGGGTGCGGCGTAATTCGCGATTGTTGTGTCACTGGCAGCCAAGCAAACTGCCGCTGCTGCTGCTGCTGCTGCTGCTGCTGCTGCCACACGTTGGCTGTGGGTTGCAAAGGATGGCTGCTGCCGCTGCTGCTGTTGGCTCTACCACAACCTCCACAACAGAGCAGGGACGGCGGGGGAGGAAGAGGAGGAGACGAAGCAGCAGAAGCAGCAGCAGCAGCAGCAGCAGCAGCAGCGGGGTCTATGGCTCGTTGCCGCTGGTCGTCGCGGGCTTCTTGTTGTTAGGGGGCAGGAGGGGGGACGAGGGCGGCTGGGGAGGGCTGCTGCTTGCCGTAACGGGCCAGGAGTACATCGACGGCGGGGACGTCAGCATGGCCTGCGACGATTGCGACTGCAGGGGAAGCTCGGACTCTGGTACCATCATCGTGTTCGAGAATCCAGCGACAGAATCCCTGGTGAGAAAGAACCGTTGTTTTCTGGTACGTTGGGGTCTCAGCCAGGAGCGGGGGGTTACACCTCGGAGGTGATTGCATGCAAGGGGGCAGCCGCGAAGCATATCATGTCGTTCCCAGGCGTCAAACAGGAGACGGCCGTTCTGCCGCCAGCTGGTGCACCCCTTATCTCGCGACCACCAACAAGCCAGAATAGAGTCAGCGTGATTGCATGGGTCTCGTCTCGCAACACATCCCCTTCGCCTGACTGCTGTGGTGGTGACAACTGCTGCATCTCGAACGGGTAGGCTATGTGTCTGCTTCAAGTCTTCTGTGATTGTTATTTTTCCCGCGCGTTAGAGCTCAGACACTCTCCACCTTCATTTCCCCTCGGCGCGGGCTTGTGCTATCTGCCACCGCCGCGCAGTTTAGTCGAAGGGCTCCCACAATTTGGCACGTACGAAAGGGTAGGATGCTTGGGAAAATCAAACATACCAGCAAGCGAGGGAAGATGAAGGAAGTCCTCTCACCTCTCACACCTCCACACGCTCGTAGATGGTACATAATACATGAGCAGGCAAGTTATTCAGTCGCCCACATATTAATAGTTTGTTTTAGCGTGTACCTTTTTAGGGTAAGTTAGCCTGTGACCACGGGAATCGACCGCGTCAAGTGTTAAGGAATAATAAATACACACACAGAAAGACTACCCATCAGTACCGACATATGAAGGTACTGGGTAGAGAGAGATCGGAACGGTTTTTAATGTGAAGACAACAACAACAATAACAACAATAGTCAAAGTGAGTTCCTTTGTCACTAAATAAATCCCGGTCTAAGTTGGAAGCGACGCGCTGCA